CCAGATGTATCTGTGATGACAAAGGCAAATCCCTTGCTGGCTGCAGTAGCAACGTTAGAGTGGATGATCATGGGTAGATGGATTAGAGATCATACTAGGCCGTTTCTGGTTTCCCATCTTCAACCCAGCGGATCTGAAGGGGCCTATTGCCTCTTCCAGTGAATGATCGAGTGGAGTTCTCGAATGTAATCAGCATTGGCTTGATGGAGACCTAACGGAGCTAAGGGTGCAGTCGAAACGAGCTCTGGGATGCTCTTCGATCTGAGTTTGAAGTGAGAAGACTGGTAGGGAGGAAGAACTGTTTACCCAAAGGGGAAAACAATCGAGGAAACGGGTCACGGAGCTTTCAAAGGCAACGAAGACCAAGCGTAAGACGGCCGGATTTACCCTGCAATCTTGCCTTATCCTGGCCCAATACCCCCCTCACTACGACAAAGTAAGCTGGCACGACACGACCAAAGTCCCTTCGCCGAGTACTGATTGTTGCCTTCTTCCGGCCTAGCGCCGATCCTTCCGGCCTCAGCCCCGCTCGCTGGCGGCCGCTCCGCCACGTGATATCCGGCGGTTTAGTGGGCCAAGGCACTGGCGGGGGATCCGTACACGCCGTCCACACACCGATTGCTTTCCGGTCTTAGACAAGCCCTGCTTCTCACACTTGATTGATGTCCATATTAGGTAACCAGTCGGTCTTCCCTTTCGAGACAGCAATCCATCACCAGGCATCCACGATGCCTCAACTTCTCTGCCCTCCGGTCTACGCGCGTTCAAGAGTGCAAATTGCCTTACGTCCCAAGATTGAAGCTGCTCATACCTCAGACGACTTGAAAGCTATATATTCAGCACGAATCCGACGATGAATCTCAACATGCTGCTCTGCACAGATCAATGCAATCACATCAACAACCGCAACAACCACAACAACACCTTACTTCTTCTCACGTCACCTCACAACTCATCATGACGAGCTCACTTGAACTCACTCCCCTGACAATGGGGCCAGGCAGACTATTCCTTAACTCCCAGTTCTGTGCCACAGTCCGAACACCACCAAAGGACCTCTCGCTCTCCGGGAAGACGGCTATCGTTTCTGGAGCCAATATCGGGCTGGGCTTCACTGCCGCACGCCAGCTGCTCGATCACAACCTCTCACGCCTCATCATCGCCGTTCGATCCGCTGAAAGAGGAGACGCTGCCGCAAAGACCCTGAGAGAAAGCCATCCCGACGCTACGGTCGAGGTCTGGTCTCTGGACATGCTCTCATACAAGTCCATCCAGGACTTTGCCAACCGCTGTTCCACCTTGCCCCGGATCGACTACGTCATTCTAAATGCCGGCATGGTTCAGGAAGACTTTAGGCTCTCGCCGGCAGGCCATGAGCAAGTCTTCCAGGTGAACTACCTATCGACTGCTCTCCTCGCCATCCTTCTCTTGCCAGTCTTGAAGTCCAAGAAAGCTTCAGACAAGCCGAGCAGATTGACAATCGTCAACTCGGGCACCGCGTTTATGGCCAAGTTCCCGGAGCAGGACAAGATCCCCATGATAGCTGCATTTGACGACGAGAAGTCTTTCAATGCCACGGATCGGTATTCGACGTCGAAGCTCTTGGGTCACCTCTTCATCATCAAGCTCGCCGAACACGTCCGAAGGGAAGACGTCGTCGTCAACCTCGTCGACCCGGGTCTCTGTAAAGGATCAGGACTTCACCGCCACGTCGGCAGCCTCATCAAGACGATAGCGGAGGTGGGAAAGAGCTTGACGGGGAGAACTCTCGACGTCGGAGCGTCAACATACCTTGATGCGGCCGTCGTTCGAGGAGAAGAGACTCATGGAAGCTACTTGATGGACTGGAAAATCTTTCCGTAAGTGCTGGCTGCCCACGCCCTTTCGCCGATGGACCTCGCTAACCGCTCGCTGACAAAGCTTTGCCAACATCATATATACACCGCAGGGCAAGACCGCTCGAGAGCAATTGTGGGAGGAGACTTTACAGGAATTGGACTTTGCCGGGGTGCGCTCGATCCTTCGCTCCATGCAGTAGGACTCGCGATAAGGACCTCGCTTCCTTCCGGGCCCTTTTGCCCCGTCAGCCTGGAACTTTGCATCACCTGGGGAACACGTTGGGTCGTATGCAGAAAGTCTAATTGCTGATTGATGCAGTCGCCTCGGATGGATGCAATAGTTTCTGGTGTCAGTCTGCCTGCTTTTCTTGCTGCGTTTCCGATTAGGTGTATTGGGTGGATGGGCTTCGCTTAGATGTCTCGTATCACCTTTGGTCATTCCATGGGTATTCTGGTCTACATAGAGTAATAAGTTGACAGTCTTACTTCTGTACTGATTTGTCAGTTCCAACAACGCCCGCTTGTGAACGCCTGGACCCGCAGGCAGTCCATCATTATGTCTGGCAAGTGGTGGCGTCAGGATGCTGTGGCGAGCTGGCATGGTGGCAAGCCGTGATCCATGAACGAGGAAATGAGTATCATGACATCTATCTCGAAGGCTTAGAGATAACGATGAATCTCACGCTATGATTCATCTACTGAAGTCCCAATCCTTCATATCAGATGAACCGTCTGTTACGGCGCAACTGGCAAGTGCAGGAAGGCAGAAGAGGTGTGTAGATCGAAGCGAGAGCTCACCATAAGGCGCAAGATCATCGATATACTGTGTCTTCGTCGGTGCAGTGGACACCATCTAACGCCGTCTCGCAGTCCACGAAGGTCTGGTCCCGATACCAGAATCCTGTAGCCTGGCTACGGCAAGTCCCTGCTTGACATGATAGCTTACGCCAAGGTGCCTCACCACTTACTCTCGGTTGATGTGGCAAAGCACCTTCTTAGTTGAGATGGTACGTTGTATTGCTATACAAAGTGAAGGGGGTTAGGCTCGGCTCCCCCCCAACGGTGAGTGAGCTTCCAACTTTGCATTACAATACTCAGGAGAACAATGGCATAGCGATCCGTGAGAGCTAGCAAACGATCCTCAAGTCTTGGCGATCTTGCCTTTCGGATGGCTCGCGATAGGGTATCACCGGTTGAGTGCCATCACCGAGCTGTCGGATACGTTCACTCGGGGTTTGTCTTTGTCCTGAGATGGAAGTGATATTGCAGCCGAACGTCACCGGCGTGCGGTTCCAGCCCTCTCTTCGAGGCCCCTCGACTTGTACGTAGCTGAGCGATGAAGCGGTACGATAACCACTTCTGGGCCTGCTCCCGCTGCCAAGGCGCCGCATCATTTGTAGAAAGCTTCCTAGTTCCAACATACCTTTATGGCACTCCGCAGGCCAAGAACAGACCGAGCCAGGGGACCGCTGCGGATGACCCTAGAGCCAAACGACCCTGGCGATACCGCACGATGGATGTCTGTCAACTCCAGGCGCAAAAGGTCTGCGGCGATTCCTCAGCTCGCCCAGCGGAATATCTTCCAAGACTTTTCCAAGACGGCAAGATGCGCCCATACGAAGCATTGGCATCGCCAAGGAGAAAGCCAAGTTGCCGCGAACCGAGGATTCTGCAGTGGTTCACGCATCGTGGGTCTTGAAAGAAGTGTCGTTTGAGCCTCTACAACACAGTTGTCCAGACGAGCGTCAAGAATGTAATTCATCAAGGGAAAGTAAAAGTAACCTTCAATTATTGTTGTTCAAAAAGCCATCTAGACTAAAGGTTAAAGGCGAGTCATTGGGTTAGTTTGCGCCAAGAGACCATTTTGAACTCACATCGGATACGGAAGCTTCTTAACAATCGCCCTGGCGCATGACTGACGGTTTCGACTATGAGAATGCAAGCTATTCGCGTGGTTCATGACTTATTCACGAGCTGCCACGTCTGCCGCCTCGCCGCCCGAAGAGTAAGAAATGGAATCAAGGACATGGCTCGCGATGGCCCAGCGCGGAGTCGCGCCGCACAAACGTCCCTGACGTCTCTTGGCACGCTTAACAAAGTGCCCACTTCGATTTTGAGCACATAATGAATGATAAGGGATCACGCGCCTATTGCGATAACAGTGGAGGGAATTACACCATGTCGGGTTGGCCAGCATCCTTGATGCAACATCAAGTTCGCAACGCGTGGTGTACCCAATCGCAGCGTCGGTTTTTGACCTGCCGAAAGAAGACCAGTGCCGGTCGGGAATGTACTCTTGCGCGAACGACAAAGCAACAGACGGAAAAGCTGTTGGGCCTGTCGTGCGTGTGCGGTCTTGAAAATGGCGGGTGCCTCGTCCCTGCAAGCCAAGACTTCAATGTCACAGGGCAAACGCCGCGGCCAGCTATGATTTCGAGGCTTTATCATCGGCTCGTGAGCTGGCGCGAAAGCATCATGTTCCGGAGGGAGTTCCGCACCGGCAATCCTACCGGCGAACACCTATGAGGTTTGTAACGTATCCGACGCAAGTCCGACGTCCATCTGGAATCGAGATGTGAAGTGCCCATTGTCGGCGAGCGATTTGGGAAGAGTAGGTGTAAAGAAACATCCATGAGCGCAATGTCGAATGCTTGTTTGGTATTTCCGTACTGCGTAGGGTATGGACCACACAATCGACAGCAATCTGGCCCAAATCGCACGGAATGACTAGCCAATCCTACGGCAGAAGACTGACAGGGATGACTGATAGGACGCGTTGCTTGATCCATCTAATAAGCTGCCGATGTTTGGCGCCAGTCTGGTTCGAGCATGGATGGTGGCCGTCAAAAAGTTCCTCCAAAAGCAGTATTCTGCGTCCCTCCGACCGGCCCCCGCCCAACTGGCTGAAGCTCTGAACACAGATTAATCAACTTGCCACCTTGTGGCTGGTCGGATGATACCACTCCTCTTTGTCCACGGCTTTTGAATGGTCAATCCGGTTGCAAATCCTCCGTCCATCTGGCTGATAAGAGTTGGAGAGACTGGCTGGGGGAGAGAGAGAGAGGGGAAAAGGGACAGACAGGGGTTGGTCTCCGTAGCGGAGCAGGGCTGCATTGTTGGATGGGGGGACAACATCGATACCCTCTACCTAACTCTCAAGACTCAAGAATCAACTCTGATGTTGAATAGACGTGAAACTCTGATAGCTTCAGCGTCTCTCTTGAAGGCTGCAGAGATGGTGTGCATTTCCCCGGACGGTGACAAGCTTTCGGGCAAGATCTCTTGATTTTTCTTGTCCTTCTTGATGGCAGGTCTTGGACGTCTTGGACGTCTTGGACGCTCTTGGGAGACCTGGGGGATGTCGTGAAAGTCTTGGGCAGCGGGCTTGGGCAAAGCTTGGGGGGTCTTGGGTGTTCTTGGGAGAGGGACGCCACGTCCAGGGTCCTTCGATCATATCCTTCTTGAGCCATCACCGCGAGCTGCCAAGCGCCTCGAGTCGTCTCTGCCGTCGACTAGCGCATAAATGGGCGAAGGGAGAGAGGCAGCAAAAAGGACCAAGGGCTATTAAGTCGAGTGGCCGTTCCCTCCAACAAGAACACTCAGTGCTAGCCATCCACGCCATCCAGCTAGAGGACGAATTAACCGTTTTCCACCAACCTTCCGTGCTTCTTCGACGCCGTTTTGACGGTGCCTCCCGCTCTCGCCTCGCTGCGGCAAACACCGCTGGAATGTTGTAGTGTAACGTCGTGGCTTCCGACTAGCTCGTCTCTTCGTGCGTTGGTGAGGTGCTTCTGCATTTGCATTGTCGTGCCCATTAGCTGAGGGAAGCGAAGCGGCGCAGCAATGTAACCAGTGATAAGCTGTAACGACCGAGAGCCCATTCGTAGATTCCTGGGTAAAGGTACGGATACGGCTATGTAGGTCTCGATACTCCACAGAGACGCGATCGATTGATCAATGCTCTCTCACAATGGAAAGCCAGGCTGATGATAGATGGGATGCCTCGCCACCCCGGCCCTCACGTCTTATCGTGGTCTCATTTGAACCACCGCACAGAGTTTCTTTCTTTATTCTTCCGCAGCGGCTCCCTCCCACATGCCAGTCCCACCAAATATGCTTCTTGGCGGGAGCACAGTGAAAGGCCAGCACTTTCACACGCGACAGTGCACGCCAATGCCGAGAGGGATCCCCGGATTGGTATTCGTATGTATACGGAGTCGGTCACTCGCCTTGCCACCAGCATCCCCCCGCCAGTGCCATATTGCCTGCTCAGAGCCTGAGATTGGACATTGATGGGGCAACATGGATCAAATGTCTCTACACGGCGTTAAAACTGCGTACCAACTCTATCCCATCAGAGACTTGATCGACCAGAGCGAGTGAGACACGGGCTGCTTCCTCCTTCTGTAGGCTGGTGTGTCGCACCACACGATGAAGCCATCGCGATTGCGACGGGGGGCGGATTCGCAAAGGGCCCAACGTCCAAGTTACTCCGTACCATTGGCAGACCTGAATCTCGCGAAGACTGCAGCCGCATTCGCTCACGTTCAAAAAGTCCCCAAAAGACATCTCCCCGCTATTGATATCTTGGACCTGCCATACTGGTTCAAGCCACTCGAGGGCCCAACTGCTTGGCATCACCAGCGGAAGCGCACTTGACCCCCCAAATAGGTGTTTTCCTGCGTGTTGGCCGCCCTGTCTGGTCCACGGAACAGTCCAGCAGCTGGTGAGCATGTTATCCTCGTAGCCAGGCACACCAGGATCCCTCATCTCTGGAGGCCCATCTGCGCTGTGGGTTCCTGGGTCAGAGGGTGCCGAATGCAACTGGACCCCGGTGGGTGGCCGGGAGGAGGAGTGGGAGGAGGTGGGGTTTTCCTTTCCGCCCATCGGCCCACGACTAGGAACCTGGAGTCTGAAGGACACCAAGAGAGAAGAAGGCAGAAAAAAAAAGACGAACTGAACCGGCATGTTAGAACGACATCTCAGGCATATGGTTCGTTCGAGGGAAGTTTGTGTCTCTGTACGTACTGGGATAGACGCTGTGATTCTCTCTTGTTCGTCTTTCTCACCCTCTCACTTCCTTCATGTCATCGTCTCACAACCTCTCATCTCATCCTATTCTTTCATTGCAGCCGCCCCCCTGGGAGATTGCGCCCAATGCGGCTATAGTGCGAATGCAGACCGATCCCTCCTACCGCGTCCCAGAACCTTTGATATCGGTCTTGTCGCAATGCAGAAGGTAGACCTCCCTGTCACAAGGGATGCAATGGGGTTTCCGGACGCACAAGCAGAGGATGGAGGGTGACGGGCTGGAGTTCCAGCCCTGAACATGAGCATCCCTGCCACCTCGACTCTAATTCCAGAAAGGGGAAGCTCACTGGTTCGAACGGCCCAGTGCCATCTCGGCCTCTCATCTATGTTAGGCGCATGGGGATCTTTGCTGTTACCTGTATCCTCGGGATCGTCTCGTGGCGAAACTGGGACCACCGTCGTGTCCGTTCGTTGCCAGGCCGTTGGGAACCCTTGGCTCCACCGTCGATAAGCATCCGGTTGTGTGACAAGGATGGCCGCCTCGTGGCTCTTGAATGTTAAAAGGTCGAGATGTCCTCGGTTCCCTCCACCCGCCTCTCGTCTCTTTCTCGCTCACTGGCAACTTTCCAGCCCAAGCGTCCACGGGTCCACCGAATCAAGCTTCTACAACCTTTTCAAGGTGAAGAATACCGACCCAGTGCATCAAAATGTCCGACATTCGTGAAGAACGGGCCCCCGTCCACCAGGGCGGTGTGGTCTCGAACGAGAAGGTCTCGACCGAAAAGACTGCTCCTGTAAGTTGGTCTGGATGTCGATGAACATCACATACCTCTCCATTGATGAACCATATGCTGATGCCTTCCCTCAGATCGTCGATGCCCACCCCGATGGTGCCGACTACAACGAACACGTTGAGCACGACTTCAACGTCACCGAGGATGATTTGCTCGAGGCCAAGGAGCTCGCCTCGCAGATGTCCCTCGAGGAGGTCCGCGAGATGATGTTCAACGTCCACAAGATCCACGAGAAGGACCCCAACTTCCCCATCACCATTATCGAGAAGATTGAGGACTTCCTCCAAAACGATGATGTCTTTGAGAACCCCGAGAAGCACGAGACTCTCATTCAGGAGATGAAGCTCGAGGCCGCCCTCATCACCGGTAACTCGCCCTACGCCGAGGTCCGCGCCGTCGTCGACAACCACGACGACCCCACCATGCCCAGTTCGACCCTCCGCGCCTGGGTTATCGGTCTCGTCTTCTCTGCTCTGCTCGCCTTCGTCAACCAGCTCTTCTCGGTCCGCTACCCGTCCATCACCATTCTGGCCAACGTTGCTCAGTTGCTCGCCTACCCCTTGGGTAAGCTGTGGGAGAAGTCTCTCCCCGATGTTGGATTCACCGTCGCCGGCCACCGTTACTCGCTGAACCCCGGCCCGTTCAACCGCAAGGAGCACATGCTCATCACCATCATGGCCAACGTCGCCTACAACATCCCCTACACCAACTACATCATCTGGACGCAGTGGCTGCCCAAGTTCTTCAACCAGAGCTACGCTGCCAACTTTGGCTACCAGCTTCTCATCTCCTTGTCGACCAACTTCATCGGATACGGTCTTGCGGGTCTCTGCAGAAGATTCCTCGTCTACCCCTCGTACTGTGTGTGGCCGGCATCCTTGGTCACCATTGCCCTGAACTCTGCTTTCCACACCGACAAGAACTCCACCGTCGATGGCCCCTTCAACAGCATCTGGCGCTGGAGCAGACAGAAGTTCTTCTACATCACCTTTGCCGCCATGTTCGTCTGGTTCTGGTTCCCCAACTACCTGTTCACGGCTCTGTCCACCTTCAGCTGGATGACCTGGATCGCCCCCAAGAACCGCAACCTCGCGACAATCACTGGCTTCAACAGTGGTCTTGGTCTCAACCCCTTCCCCACCTTTGACTGGAACATCCTGTTGTACGACAACACCGACCCTCTCATGGTCCCCTTCTTCTCCACCTTCAACAAGTTCCTCGGCACCTTCATCTCCATGTTCGTCGTCTTGGCTGTTTGGTACACCAACACCTACAACACGGGATACCTGCCCATCAACTCCAATAAGGTCTACGATCACTTTGGCTCTCTGTACAACGTCTCCCGCGCCGTCAACGAGCACGGTCTGTTCGACAAGGAGGCGTACGAGGCGTACTCTCCCCCCTTCTTGGGCGCTGCCAACGTCATGATCTACATGTTCTTCTTCGCCATCTACACCGCCACCATCACCTACGCCGCTCTCTACCACCGTCACGAGATCGCCCTTGGCTTCAAGGCTCTCATCGGTAGCTTCAGGAAGAACAGCGACGTTGAGAAGGACCAGGTCCTTGACGTCCACAGCCGTCTGATGAAGGCGTACCCCGAAGTCCCCGAATGGCACTACCTCACCGTTCTCGTCATCGCCATTGCGTTGGGCTGTGCTGGTATTGCTGGTTGGCCCACGTACACCACCGTCGGTGTCGTCTTCTATGGTATCATTCTCTGCATGATCTTCGTCGTGCCGGTCGGTATCATCAAGGCCATGACGGGTATCGAGGTCACCCTGAACGTGCTTGCCGAGTTCATCGGTGGTTCCTGGGTTGAGGGTAACGCCCTGGCCATGAACTACTTCAAGTCCTTTGGCTACGTCACCTGCGCTCACGCCGTCTGGTTCTCCAACGACTTGAAGCTCGCCCATTACGTCAAGATCCCCCCTCGCCACACCTTCTGGGCTCAGATCGTCGCGACTTTCGTGTCCACCCTCGTCTGTCTCGCCGTCCTGAAGTTCCAGATGTTCAGCATCCCGGGTATCTGCACCGAGGACGCCAAGTTCAAGATGACCTGCCCCGGTATCAACACCTTCTTCACCGCCTCTGTCCTTTGGGGTACCGTCGGTCCCAAGAAGATTTGGGGTGCTGGCGGCCAGTACACTGCCACCCTCCTCGGCTTCCCCCTTGGTGTCGCCATCGTTCTCTTCTTCTGGAGCTTGAACAAGTTCTTCCCCAAGTGGAAGTGGGTTCGCCAGATCCACCCCGTCGCCATCATGTACGGAGGTCTCGTCTGGGCCCCCTACAACATGTCCTTCGTCTGGCCCTCCGTCCCCATTGCCTACTTCTCTTGGGTCTACCTCAAGAGCCGCTTCTTGGGTCTGTGGTCCAAGGTCAGTTGCTTCCCTGCCACCGCTATTCGCATTCTGAGGCTAACACTCGCGTTCAGTACAACTTCGTTCTCTCCGCCGCTTTCTCTTGCGGTATTGCCATCTCCTCCATCATCATGTTCTTCGGCCTTCAATGGCAGGACATCGAGGTCGACTGGTGGGGCAACTCAGTCGTACGTTTTTTCCGGCTCCCAAGTTGATCTCAAAGGAACACTACTAACATCTCTCTCCCAATAGGTCAGCCAGGGCTGCGAAGGCAAGGCTTGCCGTCTGCTTACTCTTGCAGAGGGCGAGTACTTCGGTCCCCGCATTGGAGACTTCCACTAGACGTGGGACCTCTTTTCATATTGCACAACCAAGTTGTGCTTGTGGCTTTTTATTTCGAATTTCAGCGCATGTATGATGTGATGAAAAGAGCGTGGAGACTAGAGACATCGTGGACACGTACCTAGAAGTGGTGTTATAATCAGCGGATGTAACGATTTGAAGGATGAAGAAATACCCAACCATTCATTTATGACTTAGTGGAAGAATGTTATACCCCCATTGAGCAAGCTCAGTCTAGTCTTTGCCCAATGTTCTTTGATGCCGTGTTATGCGTATCGAAGTTGAGGGCTATTCGGTCGTTCTATCCCAGCATTCTTATCATTTCAACATGTCGATCTAGTAACACTTGCCAGTGATTGTTCTCGGGAGGCACTCGCCTCATTTTATGCGTTCGAATCCCAATGGTTCATGCTTGTCGTGGACATCTCTATCCCCCTTGAGCTCACGTATCTCCTGGGCCGTATATAACGAGACTTGCCAACGCCGATGCCGCGGGGTCGGCAGTCGCTCGGTGCCGGGCCGGCGTGGCTATGCTGGGAAAAGGGTGCCTCATTGGGTCGCTTAGACGATGTCCACGATCAATCCACGAACTCGCTGATTAGGCTCGGTAATGATCTCTGAGACTTTGCTGACTTTGAAGACAGGTTACTGAAATGTTGGATCTGGAGATGTTGGCGATATGACTCCCAAGATAATTAAGACCAGAAATTAAAGCTCCAAGTGTGTCAAGAAGTTGTCGTCACCCTGAATTGTGTCAGCCTTACGTTATTCGGCGGTAGATTTGATTGAAGCACAAGCACGCGTACTCTTGACGACTCGCTGCGTGCAAAGGAAGGGAAAACGAGACACTAGACTAACCTCCGTGGGACGACGACGACGAAGTTAGCTAAATGCGTGACGCAAGAAACGCTCCAGCTCCGTCTCTTTGAGTTAGCTGTCTGTGCCTAACAGACTTTAGGAGACACCACGGCTTTCTCTTTCTGCCTCGTCTTCCCCATCATCGACTTTGAGCGGGCCTGGTGCCATCGACTTGGGCCTGATATCTATCGAAGGATGTTTGTTGAACGCATTGTGGGGGTTTTGGGTATTCGTCGAAGCCGTTGATGCTTTCTTCAAATTAACACCAAGCATGAGATGAACGTGCAAGTAATACCGGCAGCAGATATCAACCCAAATAGTCAAACATGACAACGGGAACGTCCGTTTAAAGGAGTAAGCCTCTTTAACATGGACCAATTCAGCAATTTAATAAAGTTACAAGCTAAACCAATCAAGGCGTACACTGACAATATTCTAGGACCAACGTTAGCCCGGCTTACATTGGGCGTCTCGGCTGCTGACTGCCTCACCGGGCGACTACCGAGCCGTCAGCATTGCCCTTGCGACTTATGAGCTGTTTAAGTCCATGTGTGTGCCTTTGATGCCTATTTGAACAGTCTTGATAGTCGGATTCGCTCCGGTTCGACGAGGTGGACGGGGCTTATCATCAGGCAGACTCCACGGCGAGCACAACTGGGCCGCCCGAGCAGGTCGACAACGCTTGATTCTAGGACGCCAAGGCTTCGTGGAGCATACATAATATCGTCTTATCTTATAGAAGGGCAATAGTTTGCCTTGGCGGTACTTTGTTTAACAAATAAGCAACGGTCGAAATCGCCCGAGCCGAGCAACGATCAACGAGGCCACGTTATGGAGTAGACACGCTGCAGTCATAGAGATATGCCAAGCATAAACTTTCGGGGCTAAGTCGTTTACTTCAGGGGCGTCTACTGGTGAGAGTTGAAGAGGAACATCATGGAAGTTTGGCTATCAGAGGTGAAGGCCGGTTTCAAGGCCGTCCTTCTGATATGCCCGTCGCAAGTCCAATAGCCCCTCTGCACAACACAAGGCATACGGTGAATTGCAAGACCTATTGATTATCCATGATATCATGGTCTCGTGAGTCTTGAGATCCCATGCCAAGACAGCCTGGGACACCCATCCCTAGGTTTTGAGTGAGGCAGCGGCGGAGGAGGCATCGCCCTTTCCTCACAGCAACGCAGCCAGTTCAGTCCCACCAGAGCCATGGGGGCAGCTCTCAATCTTCCCAGATTTTGCTGGAGTCTTCAGACTTTCTTCCTTCAATCAAGGGATATGTCTTGATCGGAGCATTCGTCGGTCATCAGATACCCACTGAGAACCGAACCCCGTGAGGCCTTGATCTGGCATGAATCCAATGATATAAAATTGATGAACATCCAATTCAAGAAAAAGCAGATAGAAACCCTCTCGAGACCTCACGTGTGATCATGCTGTCACGCAGGTATGTAGCCAAGCTCATGACCGCCCTTTCGCCGACTTAGTCGTCCCTCTCAACCTCCTCCACCACACCCAGCATCAGTCATCCGCTTACCTATAGTGTTACGGCACGTTCACCCTTCAACCGAAGCAAAATGCCATGCCCACCCAGCGATACTGTTGATGGCAGGACGACCTTACCCCAAAGGTCAATTCATCAAGCCTGGAAACCAGATGAAGCTCACGGCGACCGAGCCGGCCACCGACAACAGCAACAAAGGCAGAAGGGGTTCAGCACGTCCACTCTCCGACCATCAAGAGCAAGGATATTGTCTTGGATCGGTCCAAGAGCCACTGTCTGTCGCCAGCGTTGTTCCGCAATGCCAGCTCGCGCGGGACACCTAGATATCGGAGCGAGATGAGCTGCTACCACGGGATCAACTGTAGGGCAGAGTGTCAGTATCCAAGGCATCGGCGCCTCTGTACGCTACTCATACCATTTGACATTTCGTCATTGTAGATGTAATTGTAGACGAGAGGAAAAGGAACCTGTGCTGCTCCTGGATCGCATGATCGCCTTCACCCTGCCTGCGCAGCGCGGGTAGGGCTATGAAGAAGAGGCAAGCCACTTCACGTTGGATATTTGAACGTTGCCAGAAAAGACCAATGGAGTATTCTAAATGATTCATTACTAAAGGTTTCCCTTCATGTGGGTGGAAGTCACGTAGAAATGCCCTTCGATGGCGGCAGCTATACAAACACCAGGATGAGCATCGCCGCATTTCAGCTCATGCAAGAGACGAATGCGTTAAGTAAAGCAGTCGCGAGATTGAGTTGAAAAGAGTCGTCTAGACACCATGTTTATTCAGGTAGATGGTATAGTAATATTCGAGGTTTTGAAGATATCGCCGTCCCTGTGTGATGCATCAACGCGCCCAGTATCACATCACCCACCGAAGTCAATAAATTTCGCCCATCGTCGCGGTGCACCCACGGGGAAGGACAACCCGCAGGTCTACGAGGTAGCCAGCCTTCGACCACAAACTCGCCTGTGAAAAAGCAACGTTAGGATCGAGGACACCAAAGATGTGGTTTCCCGTTCGTACCACTTAAACTACACGCGCCGTCACTCGACAAGCAGTACCCATTTGTATCGGACTACCGGCACCCGAGAAAACAGCATCCTCTCCTAATGGAAAAGAAGATGGACACCCGCCGTAATTTCACAACGATCAAGAGCATCCCTCAGCGCCGCCAACCTATCCTCGTCGTCGCCTCCAACATTCACCAGCAGTGTCTTCGCATACCCCGCATCGCCGGGGCCGCCAGCGCCGTTGGTCTCCCGCACCCCGAGCCGCGGCATGAGCTTCCACCCCCTCCACGACCACCTCCACACTCCTCCTCCTCGTCGCCTTCGAAACGACCGCGTGCGCTCAGCGCTTCTCTATCGCTCCTCGCCAAACTGATCGACGGACACTAGGTTACTAGAGGAAGAAAGGCGGGGTAAGGTCGATTAGCGGTAGGGGCGAGCTTCGCGGGTGCGGAGGCGGAGCCGGTCAGAGACGGCTCATACGGCGGAGGCGAGTTGATGCACTCGAGAGTAGACTGGGACAATAGACTCGAAAGTGCTGCTCCTCGTCATTGTCCCCATGCGTGAGGGATCGTCTGCCGCTGAACGTCACGCGGGCCCTCAATCCGGGCGATTTGTCGTAAGTGTCTCTGATGGATCCATAATTCTGTACAGCAAAGTCAATCGTAATTGTTTTAGATTTGTACCTTAGTACGTAGGTATTCGTCTGTCCGATTGCCCGGAGACTGATTCGTTCGCGGCCAGCTTCGGATGTGTCACGACCTGACCATTTTGGTGTGGAAATCGCGGGGAAATGGAGCCCGGCTCTCTCTCTGCTCCAGCGCTCGCGTGCGTGAAGTGCGTGCGCAATGCGCCGCCGTGCGGGCTGGCGGGTTCCTTTTTTCCTTTCGCTGGAAAGTCTGGAAGTCTGGAACCTTTGGAGACGGGAACGTGGGAAACTGGAGACAGGCAGCGAGATGGGATGCCGATGTGGAGATGTCCCGGGTTCGACTCTTCAAGTCCGTACGTAATGAGATGTCGGCAAAAGTGGTTTTGATCAAGTAATGGATGGAGTTTCTTTGCTGGAGTTACCAAACTTCCAAGCCGTGGATTCGCGGGGAAAGTGGTTTCCGGGGTAAAATAAACAAAGTATGCGTCAATTTCTGTTTGTCAATTCCGAGTTCATGCCGTTGCCGTGAAAAGCAACGTCTTCTCACTTCTTTCATATCATCCACCTCGGCAGTCTGTCTGTCTGTCTGTCTGTGTGGGATAAAGTGCGACTGCGACTGCGACTGCGACCGCGACCGCGCCCTTCAAACGTGGCTTGCTGCAAAAGAGCGGCACGGCGAGAGAATCAGCCTTCGACGCCGGGCCCGTTGGTGCTCATTGGCGGCTGAATGAAATGGGTGACGCAAATCAAATCCATCTCGCTTGCATCCGATGCCGACTAACGTTTTCCGATAGATACCTACAGTCCTGACGCGACTTGATCTCAACGTGCCTTGCCTTCATAGGTCGCCGATCAATTGACGCAGACGTAGATCCTTTGGTGCTTGTCTCAGAGGATTTCCCACACGTCGAGGCCGGCCGGATTTGAGGTAGGTACACCCATCACCCGGCTACCTCATCTCGGTGACCGGATGAAGCTCGACTTTTGGGCTCCCCTCACGGAAAGCATCGAAAATATCCTAGCCAAGACTAGGCCAAATGTGAATAGTCGATAGCCAACGTCTTTCTGCGCCCTGCAGCCTCATAGGGCTTCGGAAATCATGCTAGACAACTTGTCCGCCGGGGGGGTTGAAGGGGGAGGGGAGGCCTGGCTTCTATTACTGCCTATCTAAAGTAGTCATCCGCTCGGCGCGAGTGAGCATCAAGAGATAAGAAGCCGCCGCTATGCTACCGAATCGACCGGGAGGCAAGGCAAGGCCAGGAAAGCGCATCGTCGGCCAAGCCGTCCTCCCTTCCCGCCGCCCTTCACGCTGCGCTGCGGGCGTTCAGCCCTGGAAGATGAGCTTGCCAACCGGAAACCTTTCCTCCTCCAAGCCTAGAGTGTTTGTGTGCGTGTGCCTTATCAGTCTGCAGCAGCCCTTGGCCATGCCACGGCGATCAATCAAACGGCCCAAGCCTCTGGGGGGGGGAAGCCTGGGCTGGCAGCGGCATTCCTTCTTCGTCATCGCACTCTCAAAGACCGCGGGCCGCAGACGAACGGGTAGATAGCCAGGGCTTCAGTGTCCAGGACCACGGTCGCCTCGCCTTCAGCTTCGATTTTGGAAGAGACTAGGCGATCGAGTCTGACGCGATCTTGGCGCATGAGTAAAATGTCCGAAGCCGTCGCTTCTCAACGCCTGTTTTTCAGCTGGTGATGCTACTATTGGCGTGCGGTAACAGCAACATCAACGACGCCTCTAACGAAGTCTGCTGGACATGATGTTTCCAACGGACCACCAATAATTAGATAATCAATCGAAATAAGGTAATTGCTGCACGGACATCGTTTGTCGTGAACTCTACCCCCGAATGCGAGTCTTCGAGGTTTTACTCGCGACAACTCCGAGTCGTTCGTTCTCGTCGGATGTCGATCAGTTCATGATACGAACCAGCACGGATGAAGGGCGCGGCTGCTCTGCTGACAGTCGTCGACGCTGATTTCCGATATCAGCCAAACCCCGTAGCCATGTGAGATTGTCCCACCACCCAGAGGGAAGAGTCCCCCAATTCGAAGCGGGTCCTTGAATCCATTCGTTGCGATCTTCGGTCAGTCCGAATGCAGGAGACCCTCGTCTCGTCTCTCGTCCCACCCACATGTCCGTAGTGCTACAATTAAACTGGAGTCTGGAGAGATAAGAAGCGAGAGCAGAGGCCAACGTCAAACGCACGCCATTACGTACAAAATTCTTCTCGCGCGCGAATGGGCACCTCACTTGGCTTCCCCAGAGGATGCTAATCCATCACCATGGATTGGATTCATGGTCCGGACACTGCCCACTTCCTCCACACCTGCTGTCGAAAGAAAGCGTGGGCCATGACACGGCGTCGGCGTGGATGGCTTCACCACGCCTCACGTAATTACGAATACAGGTTGTCTTTGAGAAAGTCAATCTGCCGCCAACTCCAAAGCCAACAAGACGTTGATGGTGTGTTTCTGGTAGCGCAGCGCCTCTCGGCCCTAACCGAGGAATCGAAATCCCTACCACTGTTACCTTGTCACGCCATCAAGCGCGCTTTACTCTTGGCCTTGTTCGCCAGGCTCAAGGCTGTTCGGTTACCGTGTGGCTGCAGTAGGCACGCAGTCGGGATGGACCGTCGCCGCCTCATCAAATCTGCCCATAAACTTTGCGAGCTTGCATAGCAAAAGAAGCGCTAATTTGCATCCGTAAGGTAGATACTGACTGATGCAGCCAAGGAGGCATGGAAAGGAGCTAGTTGCCGCTTCGAGGCCTCTTGACACGGAGTAATCTCGAATACGGGGCGTCTGCGACTGCCGTGCCGCCAATGTGGGTAATTTCTCATCATTTACGGCCTGCCTCCTGGGGCTGGGAATGTTATGGTCGCGTTGGCGCTGCAACCAGACGCGGACTATACTGCAGGCCTAAATAGTTCGGCGAGGTTGTTCGGACGAGCTGTTCACTTCATACCGACCGCAAGGAAAAGGAGGGAAAAAAGGGTACTTGTTATCGAACCGACGAAAATGTTTCTTGAGATGCGGCCACGTTGAAGTCTAGATGAATCCCAGCGAGCTCGCTCGAAAGATGACTACTCTGACAAGAGCTGTATGTAGCAATGTGCGATGCGGATGTAATGAGTCGTGTACGGGAACTCATTGCTCCATGTCGTTCAAATCCCAGTCCATTCAGCGCGTTCATGGCGGCCGTACGAATGGAAGATTAGGTTGCCTGCAATTGCGTGAGAAATTCGCGCTTGCGGCTTCATCCCAGGCCCAGGGAATTCCCTCTCCCGAGTCTCCCCCTCACTCCCCTCTCCCCCTGACCGACACCGCACGCGGACTCACCTGGGTCAGCACACGCTCCTGGCTGTTTCCCCGAGTTCACCCCAATTAAACTGGACCCAAGTTAGGTTCCTCGAGCAAGGGTACGGATACATGGTGGGTACGGCAGCCCAATGTTCGAACTGGATCCGCATATGTGTGGTGCTTCTGGCGTTGGCAGTGGGATCCATGATCCTGCGGCGTAGATAAGCATCCCGTTTCGAACTTCCACCTGTTTGATACCGGAAGTATAGATAACGAAGCAAATGACTTCATATGCTGACTTTGTGGGTGCGACTCGCGGGAGTCTCAGCCAGAATCGCAATGCCCCTCAGAGTAACAAATCGAGATGCAGCGAAGCGTGTGAGTGACATTATTGGAGGGAGGACCCGATGGAAGGACGCTAGAAGGACGAGTAGAAGGTCTTGATCTGCCTGGCCATGCAGTGATGCTGGGATTCGCTTGTCACCCGCCGCCCAAAGGATGCGACCTACTGCAGCCATTGCAGAATGGTGGTCGCAGGGGACGATAGGGCGTTGGCAATCGCCAATGGCTAGAGACCGAAATGACCGATATTCAGAGTCAAGCAGGTTATTGGAATTGGCGGAAAGGGGGGGGGGGGGGGTCGCAGACATGTGGTGCTGCCACCATCGACCTTCCTGGCGCGAGAGACTAGAAGTTCTGCCCCCCTTTGCCGTTCATACTGGATGACTAGGAACCAAAGAGTAGGTAAAAGTAAGCACATAAGTAAGGTAGGCAGACAAGTAGGCAAAGCTGACGGCGCACTGATGGCTGGTTCGAAACGTGCCGGCCTATAGGATGAGCCGAGAACACCATCAAACAGCTTATCGCATTGCCACTTGTCAAGGTCGGTTGATGTTGGTTCCGAAAGCGCCGCATCTCCATCGACACGCAGCGGCACATCACCAGACGCAAAGGCGACACTCTGTCATCAACCCTGTTGTCGAAGAGGAGTGGCTATTGTCACCTGCGCCTCTTCACCCGGGGAACTGGTAGGACCTCTACCGGATGGGGGTTTTGTCGCAGACGTATCATGTCTAGTCAACCATATTACATTATAACCAACTGTCGCAACCAACACAGCCGCGCGATAGGGCCTACGCCGGCGACGATGCGAAGTTGTCGTGTTCTGCAGGGAGGGATGGGAACACCGGGAGCTATCGACCAGGGGTGGGACCGATTCCACCTGCTGCGTAAGGTAGTAGTACTCTTCCCCTGTTGATTGCAGAAGAGAAAACTCCCCGTTCCAACTATCTGTGATCGAAACGAAACGCAGTGCTGAACCGGCAGGCCGAATGCCCTTGGAACCTCTCCTCCATTTCTCTTGCGCAAACACTGGCTCGACAGGATTTCTTCATTCGAAAAGAAGCGATGACGGTGCGTGTATCTGTCGCATTGGGTAACTTGCACTATCACAAGCCATCATGCGGTAGCGCTGCCAGTGCAGCAAGTACGCTAAAGTTGAGGCATCGAGGTCAGACTTTGTGCCAGCCGCGGTCGTTGGCTCTGTCGGCTGCACGACGTCGGGGCTCTTCAAGGATGATGGAAACCTGGGGCGGCCAAGATCAGCCCCCCCTGGTCCACCCACACCACATGCATTCTCGGACCAGCCAGTTGTCTGGCCGCAGTCGACTTCTTGGCAACCCAAGCTCTTGAAAGGGAAGTTAGGGAACAGCCAGTTTCCGTGAATGCCGTGCCGAGAAGTGTAGCAAAAGCCGCTGCAACCCTGGCAAGAAGCCTGGTTGGACATCATTGGTGTGGCTTACCTGCAGGATTTTCTTCCCGATGAGCCTCCTCGACTTCGACGATTTCCAGTGTACCGGGAAGACAGAGTGACCGGATCGCAGCAGAGACTGTTGTGGACTATAGCACGCAGATTGCAATGCAGGCTAGCCTCCTGGCTTCGTCCCCAGCGTCGTGGACCTGGACCTCTGCGTGGACCATCTCCCCTCACCGACCCGGGCCCAAAGATTCGTGCTCTCCACTTCACATATGCCCCCCAGGGCCCCAGCTCCACAGACAGGTTCGAGAGGAGGAGGGTCGGACTGGATCCTGAGATAACGTTGAGGAGGCAGCGCGCAATGGACAATGGAAGGGGCGGCCACTTTTTCGGAGCCATTTGCTAACGGCTTCAAGTGACAAGTCGCCCATTGGCCAACCAGCACAGCCCACGCTAGGTATCTGGGGGCTCTCAGGCTTTCTCAATCGCCCGGCTGGGGCGTACGCATATGTCTCGGTGCCACGGTGGAGAGCAGGGTGACATCCCATTGCTGTGGTTCTCGTCTCCCCCAGGTCACGGTCGCTGGCGACGGGGTCTCGTCCAAATCCACTTCGTTACGACTGCGACTGCGACAGCTTGCCCTTTCTTCGGCCGAATATGGGTTTGTACCCGTCCCTGGGTTCCTCGTTAGTGCATCATGCATACCGGAAAGCTGTCCGCAGCCAGCCCGCCTAACTCACCAGGTACCTCGTCCTCAGCTCGCCCAGACAGTAGTGCTCTGTACGAACACAGAGGAGTACCTACGCAGTAGACTCAACGACGGGGAAGGTTTCGCTCGTTCCCGCTGGCCTGCCCTAGGACTTGGTACGTATCGAAGCACGACCAAAAGCCAAATCGCCTCCATCCCTCCCCCAAGTCGTATGCAACAAGTAACGGGGGTTGCTGCCAGGATAGCCTGCCATATCCTGTCCTTGCCAAGATCTGCGTCTGTCGCCCGTCGAGAGGGGGGCAAAGTTGGATAGACCAGCTTGATACTCGATCGGCCCTGGACCCTCATCTCTCCCTCCTTCTCTTGTGTGTAATTTTCCATCGTCAACCAAGTTCAGCCTATCGGCTTTCCATGCATGACTGGATCCGCTTGCCGCCCTTGACAAGAACCCTTAGTCCTTGCGCGCCGGTTCCTGTGCTCTGGACTGGCATTTCCTTCATAAACCTCCCCTTTCCCCCGTCTGATCTGGTTTGTCTCGTTTTTTGACAACCATTTTTCTCCGTCATTTCCGTTCTTCTCGGGCCCTCCTCCCGCAGCATTCATTTGTAACAGACATTGCCTGTCTGTATACCCCAGAAAGCCGCGAAATCCATCGCCATGGCTGCACCAGAAGGGGTTGTGCCCACCAAGGTTGAGGCCGATGAGAAGGCCACCGGTGGCCTTCCTGGCTACGACACCGGCAGTGGACAGGAGATCCGAGGCGATATCAGCGAGGACAGCTGGGCAACACGCAATGGCCTGAACATGAAGTCCTTCACGAAGAAGGAATATGGTCTGGGCCTTGTCGAGCTCGAACGCGCCATGAGCTCCCGTCATCTCCACATGATTGCCATTGGCGGTTCCATTGGTGCTGGTTTCTTCGTCGGTTCCGGTGGTGCTCTGAGTAAGGGTGTAAGTATAGTGCCTCGCCTGTCGGCAGCGGTTACTGACGCAGAAGTAGGGTCCAGGATCGCTCTTGATCGACTTCGTTCTCGTGGGTATCATGATGTTCAACGTCGGTAAGTTTCAAACCCCTGCAAACCCCGCAAAGGCGACAGATTCTGACTTTCTGCAGTGTATGCCTTGGGTGAACTCGCTGTTATGTATCCCGTCTCTGGTGGCTTCTACACGTACTCGACTCGCTTTATCGATCCTTCGTGGGGTTTCGCCATGGGCTGGAACTACGTCTTCCAGTGGGCCATCGTACTACCGCTTGAGTTGACTGTTTCTGGTCTTGTTGTCGCATACTGGAATGACACTGTCAACGTCGCCGTTTGGATCACACTTTTTCTCGTCGTCATTATCATCATCAACATCTTCGGATCTATAGGATACGCCGAGGAGGAATTTTGGTCGTCCTGCCTGAAGCTCGGAGCTACTGTCGTCTTTATGATCATCTGCCTCGTCCTGGTCCTCGGTGGCGGACCGTCCAGCGGCAGATACAGCGAGTACCAGGGTGCGAAGACGTGGTATGACCCTGGCGCATTCCGCAACGGCTTCAAGGGATTCTGCTCTGTGTTCGTCACGGCCGCTTTCTCCTTCTCCGGTACAGAGTTGGTCGGTCTTGCTGCCGCCGAGGCTAAGAACCCGGTCAAAACACTTCCCGGTGCCATTAAGCAGGTGTTCTGGCGTATTTCGCTCTTCTACATCCTGGGCCTGTTCTTCGTCGGGCTGTTGATCCCCTCCGACGACCCTGCGCTGCTCTCCGAATCCGCCTACTCTGATGTTAAGGCCTCTCCCTTCGTGTTGGTCGGCAAGTACGCCGGTCTCGTTGGCTTCGACCACTTCATGAACGTGGTCATCCTTGTCTCTGTCGTGTCGATTGGTGTGTCTGGTGTTTACGGTGGTTCGCGTACCCTCACTGCTCTCGCCCAGCAGGGTTATGCGCCCAAGATCTTCACCTATATTGATAGATCGGGACGCCCGCTGCCTTCCGTGCTGGCTGTCATCATTTTCTCGCCCTTGGCGTATATCAACCTCAGCGCAAGCGGTCCTGTAGTGTTTGACTGGCTGTTGGCTCTTTCCGGTTTGGCTGCGGTCTTCACCTGGGGATCCATTTGCCTGGCGCACATTCGCTTCCGCAAGGCGTGGGCCTACCACGGCCACACCGTCGACGAGATTCCATTCAAGGCCATCGGTGGCGTTACCGGCTCCTGGATCGGACTTTTCCTCTGCTTCATTGTGCTTGCTGCTCAGGTAAATGAAAACTCTTCTGACGGGATCAGAGATTGCATGCTAACAAGAATCCACAGTTCTACACTGCTATCGCACCCCCTGGCACGACCGAGCTCAACGACGCTGAAGGCTTCTTCAAGTCGTATCTCGCCCTTCCTGTCGTCATTGTGTTCTGGCTTGGTGGTTTCTTCTGGAAGCGCACTGGCTGGCTCCGCACTGCCCAGATGGATGTCGACACTGGCCGACGTGAGCTTGACTGGGACGAGATCCACGCATACCGTGCACACATCGCCTCGCTCCCCGCATGGAGGCGCGCACTCCACAAGGTGTGGTAAACGGTGTTGTTGTTGCCAAAGGGGAAACTACGTGCTGCCGCATTCATGTATATTTTAATCAAAATCTTGCGTTGAGGATGATCGGGATGGGACTACCGTCCTGGTAATTGTTAGCAAAATGAAGATACCACAATTGCTTTGATATCAAATCTGTTTCATACTCATATTCTACCATGCGTTGAAAGTACCAGTTGCAATTCATGCTCTCATTGTGTATTGGCTAGGACAGCAATATGGGGATTGTCTGTGTATTCCGCCGTGAACCACTCTCAAAAGAGATCTGGTTGGCATCTCTGGAGCTGTGGGTTATGGCGCAGTTATAAGCCCAGAAGCTGCGCCGCCAACCAAGAGAATGCCAAGGCCAAGTGTGTGCCTTATCTCGGAGAGCAGCGGCCGTTCAGCAGTGGCCCATGCCAACAGCAGCGATAACACAAGGTAGGCGAGCGTTGTTGGTGAAGATAAGGGCGACCAGCCCAGAAGAGCAGGTGATGCCCGATTGTCGGACAGCGGTAACTGGAGATGGTTGGTCCGGCTTGTTTGATATCTCTCGGCGTAGGGGGTTCACGGTCGACAGATAGTTCTTGGGAAGAAGGCCTAGCCGGATTCAGTGACCCATCCCGAGGAACTGACAGGGCCAGAAGAACACCTAGTAAAATCGGAATGCGATATCGGGTGGCGGCACGGTGATTCTGAGGTCTCGTGAGGATTGTCGGGCTGGTTAATCAACAAGATAGATGTTGCCGCATTGGTGAGTATTAGACATTTCTATCAGTCGTAGTTGGAGGCAGTCGGGCAATAGGTTGCGATGGAAGTCGGACGGAGTATCCCCGGGCCGGAAAGAACTGATGGAATGATTCCAGGTTTTCGAGGGAAGGAGCCATTGAGTAAATGGCATACCAGGAAAGAACCTTGCTCTGGTTGCTCCATCGTGGCCTTTTTTACCTTACAAAAACATCAAAAAGACGGCTGTTGGGGTTCATTTAAACAACGCTCAATCTGCGTGACAGGGTGACAAAAACGCCTTAGCACACCATAGCGTTGACTACATGTCATTCCGGCGCCCTTTTGACACACGTCTCCCCACAACGCCCCGCTGAAGGACATGTCAGACCCACGGCTGAACTTACTGAATTTCCTCTTTGATGGGAGATAGGCAATGTTCAGCCCATCTGCTGAGCTTTCACTGATAGTCGCAATTGCTTCTGGAATCTTACTCTGGCACTTGTAAGATGAGAGGACGACGTGCTTCAGGAATGGCGCACTTAGTACCAACCATAGAGACATCTGCTAGCCCAGGCTTCCAGATATGACTTTCACTACACTGCTGCCAAATGCTTAGGTAATGTAATCCTATCATCAAGCATCCCTATCTAAGGTACACGATGTGATACGATGAAATTTGTTTGACTGGCTCAGGTTTCCTCCCTTCAGAGGCATGTCTACCCTGATGAAGAGCCCATCTGTATGCCTTGGAAAGCGTCGTTTACCTTGCCAGAGTACACACGGATAAGTAAGATAGATGATGAAAATGAAGCCTTTCTGCAAGGGAGTGATGAGTTCTCGAGGAAGGTAAGCTTCGAAATATTTCAAACTTACACGAGACGAACATGAGAATCTACCAGGGTAACATTGATATGTGGAATACATCGGCAACAAGGTACCTAACAAGCAAGACAAAAGTGCCTTGAGAGTACTCTTGGCAACAGACTCATATGTCTTTGCCCGCTCTGACAGTGAATCACATAAAAGTACTCTCATTCTATAGTAACTGCATATTAACTTTGTATTCTTGCAAGACATAACCTCACCTCTCCATTACAACGCGGGCGTCGAATCGGTAAGGGAGAGAGCCGGCCGGCAGGTACAGGCAGTGGGGCGCGGTGCTCGGCCATGTGGGTCCACTCAGCCGCAGTGCGCCCCCCGAGTTTTGCGCAGCGGCGCACAACTCACCACAGCCATTTCCCCCTTCAAAGCTGAGCATCTCACCCATCTCCAAGCTCTGATTTACCTCAATTTCGTATCTGATCCGTTCGGTTCAACTTCTGAATATCGGCTTCTATCTTTCGGAATCGGCCTTAGCTTACCTCACCTCGCTGTACAGACAGGGCCTGTACATAGCGCGCCACAATGAGCCCCGCGCCCCCCAATAAGGGCAAGGCTCCCTTCGACGATGATGGAGACCTGTCTGACGGCTCATCTCATCCAAGCGATGCTATGCACGTTGATGTCGAAGTCATCTCCGCTCAACTCCAAGAGGGGGACAAAAAGCCGGATCCGGCCGCTTCCGCTCAAATCCCATCTCGAGACTCTCTGCGGGCCACCCTAGAGACTCAAGGCGAGAAACCTGTCAAGCTAGAACGACTTTCACCAGACCTGAAGCGAGGATTCAGCACAAACTCTACCGCATTTGATGCAGAGTCTGCTCATTCGGAAACTAGCCAGAAATCTTCTTCGCCCCTGGATTTGACGATGAAAAAGAAGAAAAAGAAGGTCGAAGATACGGACGTCCATGGACATGGCGCAGCTTATGACGCGCTGAGGGAAGTCGTCGAAAATCGTTTATTGAACGCAGATCAAATTGTCAAGTCAGAATTCTCACAGAACGATATCACGACCCAGCTCCGGGGTCCCGGTCACCGATCGCTCGAGAGATCAAGCGCGATGTCTGAAGGCGACACCGCGAGCAGCGCGTCTAATGCAGAGGATGAGCCAGGGATTCAGAACGAAGACCCTACAAAGAAGGTCCAACGCCTCATAGTCGATAGGGTCATGTCATCATTCATGAGTTGGCTTGACATAAAAAAGCAAGTCAAGCGAGAGGAGGAGGAGCAAGGGAGTGAAACGCAGATAGAGGAAGCCTTGTTGGAAGCTGCCCCTGGCGGCGATGCTGCAGACGAGGCCCTCCCCGAGTCCAGTCCAACGATGTTGGCAAGTGTTTCTACTAGCACGGCGAGCTCTTCAAGAGGGCATGAACTCGAAAGCTTCATGTATCGTCAAGTTCCAGCTCCTAGTGCTCCTGCACCCGTCACTCGCCACAGATATTCAAACATTGCTCTCCCACCGCCGCCCCAGCGAGGCCGAAGGCCGGGGCCACAAACAGGAACACAAATGTCAAAGTATGGAGGGGCTTCAATACAAAGGCCACCGCCGCCAATGGGACGAGGTTCGCAGTTATCTGCGACCTATGTGCCAAGTTCCGATTCAATGGTAGATTTTGCGGGGATACCACCACTGGCATCAGCGGCACAAGCACCAGTCCCAGGACTCATACCACCGCAGCAGGTGCAGTCGCGATCAGGCTACACTGCTATGAGCGCAAGCGAGGTCGAAGAAGTCTCACGTTCTAGCAAACGGAGTGCTGCTCCAGAATCAACATCTCGATCCTTTGTCTCGGCAGCGTGGCCGATCATAGGATCACCCGCTCCTTCGCACCCGGTAGGAGCTTCACGGCAAATACCGGCAGAGAAAGGAGCGGGTGACACCAGCACAGTGACTATGCACACAGGCAAAAGGGGGCGTAAGGAAAACTCGTCGAGAAAACACGACAGGTCTGCAGGCGGTCGAGCGCCGGGTGAAGAAGAGGAAGAGGACGAAGGGAATCAACTGCCCCGAGCGAAACTGTCCAAAGTCCAGGAAGACACCATTGTGGGCGCAAAACTTGCGTGTCCCTTCTTCAAGCACAATCCGAGGAAGTACAAATCCCAGCGACCATGCTGTGGGCCAGGCTGGGACCAAGTTCACCGTATCAAGTACGTTTATCCTCCCTTCCCACATGATCTCAACTCACTGCTAACGACCCGTCAGGGAGCACATTTATCGCAAGCACTCTCTTCCAAAGTTCTCGTGCCCGCGGTGCTCGCAGTCTTTCGAGACCCATCTGGCTCTGCAAGCCCACGCCCGCTCGCTGGACGCCTGTGACGTACGCGAACCGGAGGTCTTGGATGGCATCACGCAGGATCAAGAGAAGAAGCTTCGTTCTCGGAAGAAGACGTCGATCAAAGAACTCACCGAAGCGGAGAAGTGGATTCAAGTCTACCGTATCCTCTTCCCCGACGTGAGAGAGCGGGAAATTCCGTCACCGTGTAAGCTTATGCCCCTACCGATGGAAGCAGGAACTGACTGTAATTCTTGCAGACCATAATGCAGAGGACGCCGAGAAGAATCTGGGAGGCTACGAAGATTATCTTCGCCGTGAACTTCCACCGCTGGTCCGCCGACAGCTTGAAAAAGAGGTCGAGCGTGAGCTGAGTTTCGTCGAGGAAGGGATGAAGCAAAAGGTCATTGACATTGCTCGGAATCTCCAGCTCACGCTGTTCAAGGGCTACCAACAGCTTGAGAACCAAGAGCGAGGACTGCAAGAAGCGCTGAGTGTTGATGCGTCTTCAAGCTCCGAGATGGCAGCGTCTTTCTTCACGGCGACCGACGCTTCGCCGTCAACCATGACGACTGGCGGCACAACGCCAGAGATTCCGGATCCGTTGGACATATTTGGTGATCCCGCTATTCCGGACTTCGACTTTGGTTTTCTTGCCGATATTCCTTATCCAGAGTCGCAGTCGCCCTCTAAGGGGCAGAATCTGGGCTTGGAGTTCAATCATTCTTTTGCAACTCAAGAACCGGCTACGATCACACCTGGGATGGAGTTGCTCGGGGCACAGCAACACGATCTGCCATACTACGGACTAGAAGGCTACCAAGATCCAAATAGCCAGAGGATAGACGCGAGCGTTCTGAGCTACCTTCCATGAGCTGTTGGGCATGTTGCGCCATTTGCTGTACTCTTACTGCTCATTCTTTTCCATTGATGTAGTACTCAAGATACCCAATCATTCTATCACCAATTCATCATTGACAGCAGTTTTTGCCTCGCATTAGGAGGGTGTCGGTTCGCAACGATGTCGTAAAGCTGTCGTATCAAGCCTATGTGCATCCCACCATAGACAGTGGTTTGTTTCGCTGCGGCCCCGGCCCAAACTTAAGGCACGGGGTCCCGGGGTGCAAGTCCGGAGATAAGCGGGCCAGCCAAAGACCGGGAGCCTGGATTCCAAGAGATTTTGAATTAAGGTTTACTTGCTTACGTTGACTGCATATTATGGAGCTTTGCATAGTGGCATGCCGCTTGTTTTCTCCCTGCTGTACGATTCGTTTCCGTCTCTAGCCAACTTACCCGGCCCTATTGTTGATAGATGCTTACGTTGACTGCAGCTGAGCCAGCCGGAACTGAAAGTAGACCTAAGACTATCATACATTACAGAGTCGTATATAAAACGTGAACGATCATGATCCATTTGACACGAGTCGTCATCGAGCCCTGTAAACGTCTCAAGCATTTCGAAATCCAGCAAAATGGGTAGCGCATTAAGCAATATGTTCCCGCCAAAGGCCAGCTTCACCGAAGCAACTTTGCCCGATCAGAGCGACAAGGTACCTTCCGTATTCTATACCACTTATCCATACTGGTTCAAAACTGACATACATAGGTTTTCATTGTCACAGGAAGCTCAGGTGGCCTCGGAAAAGAACTTACCAAGATCCTCTACCAGAAGAACGCCAAAATCTACATGGCGTGTCGGTCTGAAGCCAAGACCGCAGCCGTGATCAAGGAGCTGAAGGAACTGTATCCCAATTCCCATGGCCATGCCGAATACCTCCACCTGGATCTGAACGACTTGACCACAGTCAAGCAATCCGCCCAAGAATTCCTTAGCAAGGAAACTCGTCTCGACGTCCTCTGGAACAACGCCGGTGTCATGACCCCGCCGCCGGGCTCCAAGACTGCGCAGGGCTACGAGCTGCAACTGGGCACCAACAATCTCGCTCCATTCCTATTTACCCATTTCCTCCACCCGGTGCTCTCCGGCACGGCCAAGGTTGCAGCCAGAGACTCCGTCCGAGTTGTCTGGGTATCTTCTAGCACGGCGGCCAGGGCACCGAAGCCGCCGATCGACTTCAGCAATATGGATTATGCAAAGGATGAGAGTCAGATGCAAAAGTACGCGAGAAGCAAGGCCGGTAATGTCTTGCACGGAACAGAATTTGCCAGAAGAGTGTCTGGAGAAGGGATCATCAGCGTTGTAAGTTGGCGACCGCCCGTGAACTGATGGATGAATGCAATTATTGACAGCGACGGCAGAGTCTTGACCCCGGAATTTTTATGACGGATCTGCAGCGTACCATGCCGCTATGGCAGCGGATCATTGTAGTAAGTTCTGCCCAGAGAACTTCAAAACTCCTTTGTCTCTTACCACCTCTCGATGTGTCCACTAGAACTTCCTCGCGCATAAGCCGATCAATGGCGCATATACCGAGCTCTTTGCCGGCTTAAGCCCTACGATTACGGAGAAGAACAACGGTGGCTGGGGTAAGTTGCTCTGATTTTGAAGTGTTGTATCCAATACTGACGACGGTTCTAGTCGTACCCTTTGGTCAACTCGCAGCTGGACGAGAGGATCTGCGTGACAAGGAGCTAGGCAAGAAGTACTGGGAGTGGACGGAGAAACAGCTCAAGCCGTATACTTCGTGATGGATTGACGCCACCCTATCAAGATTTTTCATGTTTCTCTTTGTCTCCCTTTCTTGTCCTCTCTATGTGTACTTAATAACTACAACAAATTTTTCCAGACGAGTTTGCAAAATCCGTACACAGATGTATCACGTATTGTCGTTCCCATGGCTCCCTGCCTCTTAGCAACCCCGCAAACTCCTCCACCAAGCACTAGTCTGTATCATGCCGTCTTTATCATCCCCTATAACTCCTTTCCATTTCTCCAGGAACCATGGCATTGCTTCCCAGCTGCGGCCATCCCACGGCACACCGTTTCCACGTCCATGCATGGAGCCCATTGCGGAGCCCCAGCATTGAACTCCCCCGCCCAGCATGTCGATACAGAGGTCATCCTCATCTATCTGGGGTGAGGCCCCGGAAGCGAGTACGATGGCGTTGGATCGGAAAGATGGCCAAGGCATCAAGTCGAAGCAAGGATGATGAGCCCGAGACCGCTGGATGAAAGTCGGCCTCAGATCCGGGGTGATCTTTTCAAGAGCCGCGTCATCGTCGCTCGAGTCGTTGTCGTACCCGCTCAGGCTGCTATGTGCAGTGCTGCAGAACAGCGACTGCGCGTTCTCGTCCATCAAATACTCTGTCGTTATACTGAGCTGAGCTGCTATCGCACGCATTGCCGACGCGTACGACATCGGACTTAGATGAATGACATTTCTGGGGGGTCTGGGATGAGTTGGCTGGAGCCATTCGAGCGCCGGCTGGTCGGTCGGTGCCGTAAGATGCGCCAGTATCGTAAGGCCAGCAACGACGACCTGCCGCATATCGACACTAACGCACCGCGCTTTCACGGCTGCGATCCACTCACGCGATGACAGTGACAAGGCACTCTCGTACAGTACCGAATCCATGGAGTATCCCATGTTTATCAACCCGTACTTGACAACGTCACGAAGTGTAAAGTTCTCCCTCACCATGATGCCCCAACCTTTCTTATTTTCATGCGCTGAGAGGGATAGTAACGCCCGGTAAATATCCGAAGCTGTAAGATTGCATGAAGCGGTATATGCCTCCATCTTGTCGTTTGATGGCTCGGCTACCGTATAACGAGTAGGAGGGCAAACCGAAACCTCCTTAACGCAGTCTTGCGCTGCTGGTTCTTGCGTTACCCACGCAGCGGCGACCATCTGCTCCAGATGCCGAACCTTAGTCTTCTGCCTCGCGCCTAATTTCTGAGTAAGTAAGATACACCAAATGCGAGTTCTTGGGTTACATACGGTATGCCCGCTGAGCGTCGGCATTCTGGCGCTTCCGGCGGTCCTTCGCATCAGGCATCTTTCTGCGGGGCATTTTGACGTGGTTGTCACAATAGTTGAACCTGAACTACCAACTAAATGAGTTCTGCAATCTTTGAAACACGTACGAAAGAGGATCTGATTGTATCTCAACAGATTGACGTATTCAAATTTGCTGTTAGAATGCTGTACAAGTGGCTTGACTGGAGGAGGTTTGGTGAGTTTGCGTGGCGGACTTTGAGTATAGCCTAATCTCCGCAATGTCCGGGTGCCAAGTTAGGTGTATTCGAATACCTCGAACGAGAAAGTTCAACACTTATCACGGAAATGTCGAACTAAGATGCATAGATCTAAAGATACCGATATTCATTACTTTCTCAAAGCTAGTAAACTGCTTGATTCTCGATATTCTCGCTACCTAAGTCGCAATCCCCATCTAATCAACTACAACTTCCCCTTCCGGTTATCCTCGCCAAGCTTCAGGATGGATGCAAGATTGTTCGCCTCAATGACTTCAAAAAGCTCCCCAAGACCAGCAAGACGACGTTTCTCGCTCTCTCTGTGGAAGAACTCCTCCGCCGTCTTGATTCTCTCTGGGTGAATCTCGTCCAAGAGCGCGTAGTCACGTTGAATGACGCCCTTGTTGCCCCCAGAGTTTGTCCACATTGTCCAGAAGCCCGAGAAGTTTTCTCTAACTGACATAGTCGCCGGATCCGCGGGATCAGCGTTGTAACCCGCAGGCTGGCTGGAGATTGGGAAGTTGTCGAAATAGACGTCCATGGGGGTGTCAATGTACTGAGCTGGCTTTCCCGTGACCTTTTCAAACGCTTTTGCTAGGTCCTCGTAGTGAATATGGTCAATGGACACCTCCAGATCCATCCCATCAGATCTTTCGGGGTGATCGAAGAGCCAACGGGCATAGTATTCGCAATCATCGAGGGCAACGTGGGGAACTGCGCCTGCACCAAGAGGTACTCTCCATGTGACAATCCCGTTCTCGACCCGTGGCGTCATGATCGTCTTGGAAGAGATTGTCATCTCAATGTAGGGGCCGGTAGTAAAGATGGCGACACCCATGTTATTGCCCTTTCTCTGCTGTAGCATCCACTCGGCCAGGCGTCCCTTGCCGTCGTAGTGTCCGCACCGAAAGTTTGGGTTATAGCCACTCTTCTTATAAACGTAGTCGAGATTTCCAAAGACGAAGAATTTGATCCCGAGCTCCACCGCCAGCTCGTAACAGCGGATCGTCCAGTAGGTCTCTGCCTTCTCGCCGCAGTTGAAGCCATCAATGTTGATGAAAGCACCCCAGCATCCGGCGAATCCCTTGCGTAGGTCATCTTCGTTGGCGAAAGTTCCCTCAATGAACTCAACATCTCCGAGTTTCAAGAGCTCTTTCGCCCTCGCAGAGCTGGAGTCACGCGTCAATACGCGCAGACTGTAGCCTCCATCCTTGGTAAGACCTCGACAGACGGGAAGACCTTGGGCACCAGTGGCACCAATGACGAAGATACGGCGGTTTGCCATATTGGTGAGATATTTAAGTGATTTGAGAATTATGAGTTGCGCTTACTATAGTGATCCTTGTCAATTACCGCAAATGCACGCTGCTCTTCTCACTGCAAGGTGCCGGGGGCATTTTCTTATAATCTCTCTTACAAGCGATACTTGATATTTCCTCGCTTCCTCCCGTCGGATCCCCTACGTAATTTTACCTGTAGTTTATAAGCAATGTGAAGTCAGAAGACAAGCCTAGACTTGCTCTCACTGATTAGTTATTCAATCAACATTAGGTGATTAGTGATCCCTTCGACCACCAATGAAGACGGTGTTTTGGAAACATGACCAGACAGCAAACAAAGCACGGGCCCAAATGCTTCAAAGGCACTTACAGCCTTCTTGCAGAACTACCGTCAGGATCAGAATACAATGAAGGCTGCATATTTTTCTACTCCAATATCCTTGCCAAAGCTGGTACGCTTCATCAATTGCATGTGCGCTGCCATTCCACGATCCTTGGTGATGGAAGCAACTAATGAGGCTCGCTGTCAAAGGGAGCAGAAACATTCAAAGTACCCTGTTTTCCTTTCTGCCAAGTGTTTGTCTTGAGAAGGGCGCCAGACACGTGATGTCCAAATGCTTGATCAGTAATCGGATCTGACAATGATTTGACAGGTAGTGGCTATAATCTTTCGCTGACCAATCTTCGAAGACTAAGTCATCGATCCTCTTTAGAAAGTTGGATTAGGCCCCCGGCTTCACACGCGCTTCAATGGCTTTAGCTTTCACCGCGGAGAGATTTGATAAGACTAGTCTCAAAAGCAAAGTACTTTAGGTAACGAATTGACGCAGGCCTCATGTTCAAAGCAGGCAACCACCTAAGTTCAAGATCTCTTGAAGCACTCAATAATGCCATGCGGGTTGCCCGGTGATGTCCAAAACTCGACTCTTCCCAGCCCGGCCTTGGCGAGAACATCTTTCCACACCTGTCTCGGCCGTTCCTTACCGCCGACACTCAGCATCAAAAGATCAATGGCTGCCGTATGAGCCGAGGGCGGGTTCGGCGTGACTTGCTCCGCGATCAACAGACGACTATCCTGCGCCATGGAGCTTGCGATACAGACCAGGATCTCCACCACCAAGTCATCACTGTAATTATGAAGACAATAACGAATATAGTACACAAGTGCGCCTGGTTCATATTAGCCATCGTTCTGGAGAAGTGATAGAGTACCGGCAAACCTTTGACTGGCTGTTCCTTGTGAAAATCAATTGCCATCAATTTCGTTCCTAGTGAGGCAATAGAATCTTGAGATTGGGCGACCTCGCCAATAACTGTGTCAAGATCTTGGAGAACGCATCGATCGAATGGTATATTATAGTCGTCGCAGATAATCCTCATGGCATGACCGCTGCCGCCTCCAACATCGACAAAAAGGGGCCTGTCAGCTAGTCCCGAGTGCGCGGCATCTGAGATCCAGGAGAAGTCGTAGACGCCACAGGCCGGAAGAAGCATTCCCATTGCCTTCATTGAACGCAAAAAGATCCTCTTGTCGTCAGGATTCTGGAGAGAGACCTCCCAAACGTTCTTTTCTGGCTGGCCGTATGCAAAGGTGTATGGAACGTGTGTTCGGCCTCGTGGTTCTTGGAGCCCGTAGGCATGGAAATACTTCTCGAACTGGGCAAATGACACCATGCCATGTACGAAGCTTACAGGTCAGCTTTTCGTAAGGAGACTCGTGGATTGCCGTAATCAAGCACTTACACGATTCTGGTGAGATCCCCGTCCGGGTTGTCATTGATGAACATTTTGGACTTTTCAGTATGGGCCACAGCATCCTCACCGACTTGCTTCAGGATGCCAGTGGAGTTCAACATCCACGCGAGGCGAACTAGGACAGGAAAGTCAATAATGAGTCCTTCATCTCGAGACCGAGGAGTACGGTGGTAATCTTACCCAGCAGCTGCAGCTCACATCCAACACTACTAGCCAACTCCTGGTATGGAATTGAACCTTGTACTGGGATCTTTTGGAAGACTCCCCAAGCATTAAAGAGCTGCTTTGCGGTCATTTCGCCGACCTTGATGCAATCATTCATAGCCCTCTCCCGTGGAGTGTCCTCGAGCTTGTCGATGATGGCTTGTGCTCTTTGGATAATACTAGACTTGAAGTCGCGATCGCTCTTGGGATTCAAGACGTTGGCTGTGTCATACGCATCCACTTCATTGAGCAGATCCACCGCGAGCTTTCTGAGCTCCAAAGAGGCTTCGGCCGCGATTTCTCCCATATTCACGAAGTAGTCTGACGGCCGATCGGGGACTTTGTTTTACTGCTTTTCGAGGATGATGAGACGAAAGTTACACGAGAAACAAGTCACATACTCGGGACCCGCCATTTTATACCGGAGAAGAGTCGACAGCTTGGTGTTGGTGGAATTGGCAAGCAAACACCTCGACCCAACTCGTCTTTCGTTGGAACAGGGATGCCGATTAGGCGCGACAAACAAATAGTAGCAAACTGCATAATATCGCTGCAGACAATGCCAACCTGGGAGGGGTGGTCACTGGCAACCTGGTGACCGTTGCTTGTATTCATCGAGAGGAAGGCGAGCACATCGTGGGCTCGCTGGGGACGAGACTCCATGTAAACCAACTCCCTAGAGGCGATGGTAAAATGGCCAAGTACTTATTCACAAGTGTCACCTCGCTATGAGAAGACAAGAGCAGATACGCCCTTCAACAGAGTTGTCCTACTCTGCAACCGCCAATTCAAATCATCAATGTTAATCTCCATGTCACTGACATCTCTCCCAATACATGGGTAGCGCATTCTGGTGGGCGCTCGTCTGCATGCATTAGCAGGGGAGTAAGGCTGTTAAAATCCCCAAGCTTCAATGTCAACGAAAGTCTTTGGAGGCAAACATACATGGATCTTTCTTCGGCAGTCAAGACCTACACCAGTATGAACCGGACTCGCCGCTCAACAACCAATGAGCTCCTCGCGCGGGTATTTCGACCTCGCTAAGCGTTGACATCTTCCCCAGCGAGACTCATCGGATGCCGGCATCGATCCGAGGCCCCGGTGCGCCAGAGACCTGGTGATATGACCAACCATCAAGAAAAGCCACTATCAAATGAGAGCAGGGAATGAGACAAAGGTTGCTGGAAAACAAACATTGGCATCCTGAGTTATCATATTGCTGATATGTAAACAGCTCACGGCTTAGCTAGCACACCCGATTTGACCAACGACTGCAAAAACACCTTAATCGCCTCAACCGCAACCGCCGCAAGATTCTCAGCCCCCTCATACGACGGGTCAAACGAAGCCACTGTAAGAGACATCGGCTCAGTCTTCTCCGGAATCCCCTCAAAGCACCCGATAATGTCCTCCCTTAGCAGCCCACCCGGCGCAGCAAACCGGTTCGCGTGCCCGATGGACGTATCCAAAGAATCAACATCAAAATGAACCATCGTAGCACCAAGCTTCTTCCGCCGCAGCACCACCCCAAGCTCGGCACCGAAATCAACCTTCCTCTCGGTGCTGCCCCAGACGACATCAAACCCTGCCTCTTCCACCCTGGCCCGCTCCAAGTCATTCACGTCCCTCATACCAACATGCACCAACCGCTCCAAATCCATCGCCTCGTGTCCCGGGACCGTCCGCAATAGACCCTTCCAGCACTGCCCCGCGAGCATGGCAATCGGCATCGAATCAAAGTACCCGCTCATAACGGTGTCGGGTGTATTGAAATCATCGTGCGCGTCAAACCAAACACACCCCAGCCCCCCATCTCCAGACGCTCGCGACGCGTGAAGCCCCGCCGCGACGCCCACCGCGGAACTACAGTTCCCGGCGAGGATGATCGGGAACGAACCCCTGCGGCGTTCTTGCGCTACTAGATTCGCGGTTCGTCTGATGACCTCGAAGCTGCGTCCGATTTCACCTTCGTGGTCGTCGACCGGCTCGACTTGGACTTCGTGGACGGGGAGGCCGAGGGAGCGGAGTGTAGAGTCGAGACCGGAGGTTTTGAGGAATGCTGGGCCGGCGCCGGGGCCTTTGTTGAGGAGGCCGACGTGGTAAGGGGAGAGGATGAGGGAGAGGGACTTGAGAGGGAGTTTGGACATTATGAATGACTTGTGAATGTTACTTGAAATGAAGAAGAGTAATCCAACTGATGGTTACGTTGAAAGGTGAACGTGGTCGTGTAAGAGGTCGTTCACAGAGTACCGCGTTCATTCTTTCAATGATGTGGAGATCGGGAGTCAATGTGTCAACCAAAGGGCGCGATGACGCGCCCGTCAAATTGCTGACTAGGAGCGAGAAACTTATTGGTTCATTCTAGGTTGTAGGAGGGAACAGATGTCCGACTTCACGATTGGTGGAGTCGAGTAGTGAATGAGGCTGTAGCTCGAGACTCATTGTAACAAACATTACTAAGTAGATTGCATTTCTTGGATATCTTGCAACAATCTGCTCGCTAAAAACAAAGGAAACCTCCGAGGTATACTACTCTAGCCTCCCAAGGCGTTAAGAACAACACCTTTCGTACACTCACATGCCCACTCAATGGGGTCCAGAAGACTTGGACCCGGCGACACTCACAGGACTCACGAGGCTGATCCTGCTCAGTACACTCCCCGCCTTTCTCCGTATCCTGCTCTCCCGCACCGGAGTCGGGGCAGTCGACACACTCAAAGGACTAACTACATCGCCGTCTTCATTCTCATTCTCCGCAACCTCGCGATTCTCATCACCCTCCTCGTCCGTTCGACTGCTACCAGTCGTCATGCTCTCCATGCTGCTCCCGTCATGCTGAACCGCAAGGCTCAGCCTCGGCCTCCTCGGGCCCTCCAGCTCAACAGCCGACGCTGGTCTCCTCGTGCGAGTGCTGCCTACACCGCTGACGGCACCCTCGGCGATAGAGTCCATAGGCGGTAGTGGCTGTGCGGCCGGGCCGCGATAAGCGTCCACCGAGCTAGACGAGCTGGCACTCGTGCTGCTCAACCCGCTCTGGTGAGACGCTTTTTCACGAATCACCGTTGTGCTAAGCCGCTTCAGCCCGCGACTCCATGCCGGGTGGGACTTTGGCGAGAGGACGTCGGCAATGGTCCTTCTCTTGGCGTCGCGCATCTTGCGGGCCACAAGCTCGAATTGCTCCGCCATTGTAGGGTGCGCCATGATTTCTTCCATCGAGATTGACAGGTTGTGAGTCCCGGGAAGACCTGATTTGGGCAGTTCCTGGGTGAGAGACTCGGCGAGTTGGGATGCGGGCATCATGCTACCCCAAAGATCGTAGAACGCCGCGTTGGGAAGCTGTGTTTCGGGAACACCGAGTGACCTAGGATCCAGCACCTTTGTCCAAATTTTGGAGATGCTGAGCTGCACGGCTTTGCGGTGGTCTTCAGACATGCTGGAGCCTGCATTGGTCGGCTTCGTCTCCATGTCCAGCTGAGGCAAGGGAATTTGGGGCGGAACGGCACAGTAGTCGATCGAGGAGGGGATGAGCGGGTGAAGCATAGAAACCGAGGTGAGAAGCTCGATGCTAGAGCAGAGTGATTTTAGCGTCTCATTGGCAAACAAACTCGGGATGCGGTTCTCGCAGAAGGTGATGGAGATGTCGCCGCTGTTTGCATCTTCTTGCGTGGAAATGACGTGAAGATCGTACACGTCCCTGCTGATGGGTTCCTGAACGCTGAACTTGCACTTGATGGTGCCGAGGTTGAAGACTGCTGCCTCCTTGGCGGCATCCTGATGGCGGTGCTCGACGACTGTGCTGAAGCGCGTCCAGTACGGGAGCTTGGTGCACTTCTCGACGATCTCGAGCCAGCCCATGTTCTCGAAGGGAATGCTCATAACACGTTGGCCGTGAACATACTTGAGGAGCTCGAGGGGGCTGCTCAGAGTCTCTGCAAATCGGACGCGGACTGGAATGGCGTTTGATACTGGGCCAAGGGTGCCAGAAACATCGGATCCATCCGACAGTCTAAGGTGTCTTCCCTCGACAATCTCACCAAAGAGAACGTCGCCTGAGCCGGAAAGGTTAGCTAGGACCATGGCCCAAGCTGACTTGACGATAGTGTCAAATGAGATGCCCAAGTTGGCCAAGGACATAACCGAGACCTTCTGAGTGATCGTCTTGACGTTCGTGCTCATTGGCGGTGGCCTGCTGTGGGCGACAACCTGAGTCATCTTGGCGCCATCCAGCATGGAAGACCAGTGATCTTGTGCACCAGTAGCATGTGCCAATTGAGCAGAGCGCACAAAGTCAAAGTAGGTCGCCCTTCGTGGCGGACAGGACGGCGCAATGTAGATGCTCTTCAAGTGCTGCAGCAAAAGCGAGATGGAAGCGTCGTCGTACTGCGCTCCAGAAAGTCGCAAGACAAGATTGGACTGCTTTCCAGCATCAACGAAGAAGAACTTGGTCATAGGAACTTCCAAGTTGAATGAGCCAGTCTGATCCCTCTTGATCAACTTCTCCGTCATCGCCGATACCCTCCATGTTGGGACTTCGATCCTTTTGAACTCTGGGACGAAAGACTTAAAGGCAACTTGGTAGACCCGCCTCTCGTGGGAGACAAATGCGGTCCGGAGGATTGGGTGGATCTTGGCGAGACAGATGCAGACGGCCTCCAGCTTCTTCGTCTGAACTGCACCAGTGAAGCTGAAGGTGAAGTAAGTGAGGCTTGAGCTCCCTTTGAGTAGGCCGGTCTCGAGAAACTTGAGTTGAGTAGCAGAGGCTTCTGCGACATCGTTAATGGCGTCTCGTTCGACATTGAGCTTCGGAGCAATCACATCGTTGATGAACTGCTCCTCGAAAAGGATCTCTGAGGAGGATCCCAGGGATGGAGCAGCATTGCGTTCCGGTTCCGCAGTCTCGAGAGCGTAGTCTGAGCTCAGTGTTACGCCTTGGCAAAGCTCTGTGAGGGTGGCGCCACGCAGGACATCCGGCAGAGCAATGATGAGTCCCTGTTTGCGGCATGCGACAACCAGTTGGCCTGCGAGAAAGCTCTGGCCGCCCAGCATAGGGAAGCTCTGATTGCCTCGAATGCCTGAAGCCTCTACTCCCAGGAGATTCGCCCAGATTGATCTCATGCGCTCCTCAACCTGAGTCAGCGGAAGAGGCTTGATGCCGACCACGCGGACTTCATCGGGCGATGTGACCGAGGAGAGAGCCTGTAACTGTTCTTGCGACAGCCAACCGACCATCTTCTGGAGCTTGCGACGGTTGACCTTCAACGACGGTGTGACGGGAAGGTGTCTAACGGGAACAAAGATGGTTGGCAT